TACCTTTTTATGGCTGAGAGCTCCTCCTCTCCTCCTCTCTAAAACACCCGCTCTGCAGGAGCCCCCCCGAGAGGCCGCCAGGCAGAGGAGGGCGGAGAGATGGGCTTCATGCAGGACTGGTTTGTGTCTGTGGGAGAAAGACAGCTTGTTTCAATCAAAGTGGGGGTGAAGGGAGTAAAGTAAAGGGGTGAGTTTCACTCCTGTTGCTCCTGGGATGAGACGAATGATCGGGGAAGCAGTAGATGGTAAACCTTTTGACTTTTTTCACACCCTTCTCAGCTGGAGGAGGGTTTTGAATTTACACTTTAGTCTCTTTTTGTTGACTTGTTGGAAAAAATCATTCAGTCAGTGTGGATACAACTACTGTGGAAGCACTTTTATGAATGCCATCAACAAGAACGAAAGCTGAATTACCATTTCTCTTTGTGCACAGTTAAAGTCCTGCAGAGCCTTGTAGAGGTCTTCACCTCCTTCACTCTGTTCAGTTAAATTAGTGTCTGCAAACCTGCATCATTTAGCCGAGGTTTACAGACATACTAGCACTCATCTCTTGGATAGAGACACTTACTAATTCCAGACAAAGGACATCACCGCGCCAGATATCCAGGCGAGAACAATGGGGATAGGGAGGATTCATTACTGTCCAACACCTGAAGGCTCACTAGATGCTTGGCTGACAGCATGCATATGAAAAGGACTGCAGCCATTGCTTCATCCCATCAGTTTTACCCCCGATACAGAGATGGTGTCATTCATCCACTTTGCACTTTTGGCTACTCATAAAAACCAGGACAGTTATTTCATGCCCACATCATTACAGGTGACTCGCCGCCAAACAGCATTGTTGCCCAATATTTTCCCCAAAGTCAGAAACAAGATTGTTGCTAGTATTGACAATAGCAGTAAAGTTTTTATATTTGATTACCTTTGATTAGGTTTGCAAAGGGGCGGAAAATTTCCGGAAAATTTCCAGAAACTTTCCATAGGACATTAAACTGGGGAATTTTGGAAATAATCCAAATTGGAAACTTTTTATGGGAATTATTGGGAATTTACTGGAATTATTGGGAATTTACTGGAATTATCTGGAAATTGGGGGTAATTTAAACAAACTGTATCATATCCAAACATAAATGTAAATGTAAATATGTAAAAAATATGGCCATGTGTGGCAACTGCTGCACATTTAAAGGTATGTGAAGGATGCTCTGGTGGTGGAAGCTCTTATAGTACATAGATTGAAACATGGCTCACACGGCTGGATTCGAGGGTGTAAATTATTTATAAACAAATAGTTTTTTTTCTTGGGTGTTCTGTCTCAGCTCTCAAAGACTTATCTTTACCCTTCTGCTGCCTCGTGGAGTCAGATTTGCCCTTTTAGGTGTTGTTTTCTTTTTCCTCGTAGGTTTCCACTTCTTCAGTCTTAAACAGATTCCTCCAAAGAGATAAGGCCAGACAGATGCATTATGGTCGACTTTATAGAGGATATCATCCCATCGTGCATTTCCAGCATTCACAGTATTGGCTTCAAATTGAACATATGACCTTTCAGAGTTGCTGGTCTATTGTCCGTGTGCACCGAATGTGTAAAAGAGCTGCAGCACTCATGGAGATGGAAACATCACTAATAAACATGGACTATCATCTGAAATGCTTCCATAGAGAGACTCTTCATATCAAGTTCACTTACCATTCTGTGCAACCAACAATGTGGAGTGCTAAGGTGTTAAGAGCCGCAGACGCTGTTTGTGCTCGGTTAATCTTGCGAGGTAGGCGACCCGAAAAGAAAAATAAAAGCCGAGCTTCAGAGAGCGGGTGGAGAGATTTGCTCCGAGAGCAATTAGAGTGAAGAGACGAGACGAGACGTGGGATTCAGAGAGGGTTAGCTGAGGTGTAGATGAAAGGGAAGAAGATGAGGTTTCAGCCTTTAGAGAAAGAAAATGAATGAGTCTTTTTGGTTCAATGAAAGCCAGGATCATGACTCTTCAGGATGTGAGCTTCTGGTGTGGCCAGTTAGAGGCTTTTAGCAGCGAGTGACGCGAGCGGTTTGAGAGTGATTGAAGATTATTTCAGCTGGAGCTGGTTTTCAGCCAAATGTTACACATCCAGACCATCGACAGACCGGTCCAGTCCAGATGGATTTGGTCCAAACACTTAATTCTCAATCAGCTACAAGAAACTCTCCACATTAGACTCTGTAATTTATTCTGTCACCAGAGGAGAGAAGCACTAAAGACTTTTTAAATCAGGAACTTGGCTTTGAAATGAGGGGGAACAGGGAATCTCGTTTGTTGTAGACATGTAAACTCTTCTTACTTGAGTAATTTTATTGAAAACTTTAGGCCCGATTTATAAAAGGGTGGCATAGCTTTTGCATCTGTGAAGCCTAAACCGATGACACACTGAGCTAGCTGAGAACTTCACACGCTTTTATGCATTTTTGCTGGTTGTGTGAACTGTGCCGCATACAGGACACAAAGACATCTTTGGTTCTGATTAATGGTGTTGAAAATATGCAAGACAAAATCAATATTACTAAAACATACTGATTAAGTGAAGATGCTGACAGCTCATCAACAGTCAGATGCAAAACTTAAAGGGTGTGTGTCCAGCCTTTGTATTTACAGATTTATAGCCTCGGAAGATGCAATTCTTTAAAATGCTCGGGTGCCAAAGCAATGCAACACTGTATGTTTTGTTATGGTACATTAAGATAATATATATTTCAGCTCATGACATAAAGGAAGATGTAATTCAGTATTGTCTATAGTTTTAAGGACTAAAATAATGATGTTGCTTTAACAACAGAATTTAGAGGCAGACGACTAGTAAATATAATTATAAACAGTTCAGGGAAAAAAGGCTCAAATCAGCAAAGGTGTGAATTTCTGTAACACTTTACACTAACCATAATTTATAAATGGTAAATAAATAGTTCATTAATGTTTAATCATCATTTGAAAATAGCATATAGACCAATTATAAAGGGCAAATAGATAGTTTATTAATGTAAGTTAATAGTTACTTTACCAATAACAAACATTTAATGATTTTGATTAATAATTTTCATTAATTAATAATGGACTGTTTATTAGAGGTTTATATAGGGTTTAAATATTGGTTGTAAAACATGGACAACAACATCACTTTTTAACTAGTTAATATTTGGTTTTTAAACCACCTATAAACATTACTTAGATGTTTATTGTAAAGTTAGGGTTAAGGTTAGATTTTAAAAATGTTTAAATTTACAGTTTATTGATGGTCTTTATGCTATTTATAAATGAGGATTGAACATTATCAAACTATCTGCTTACAGTTTATAAACGGTGGTTTTATCATTTATAAGTCATGGTTATTGTAAAGTGTTCCCTGAATTTCTTTTCATTTTCGGAATCCCCCTGCTCTCTATTTTACCTCTGTGTCGTCGGTTACAGTGAAGCAGCTTTGTGATTTGTTAAATTGGTAAGTAAATGAGAGGATCGTTTGCTGAACAGTTTGGTGGGGAGCACATGGTGAAAGTTTTTTCCTGTTAATTTCCTCTCACATGTAGATTTTTATTCTGTTATCAGTTGTGGAAACTGGAGCGGTCAAACACACACTTGGACTGCTTAGGGTTAGGATAATATGTGCACAACCAAATTTGAAACTTTAGAAGAAAATATACACAGTTTTTGTTCTAGTTTCAATTTGTAATCTGTCACGATGTAAAAATAGTTAAGATGTCTCGCAACTTAGACAAAATGACAAGTGTCTCAGCAATTTCAGGTCAGACAGGTTCCTCGCTTCTCTAGTTTCACCAGTTTTATTCTCTCCATCCCTCAGATCACTCTGGACGCTCGGAGGATCCGTCTGATGCAGCTGCCTGAGGGGAAGGCCTCCACCAGCTCCTCCTCCTCTGGGACCAGGCAGACTGTCTACGAAGTTTGCGTTTGCCCCAATGGAAGGCTTTTCCTGTCCCAGGCCGGCACTGGATCCACCTGCCAGATCAGCATCAGCGTCTGCCTCTAGGACCCGTAGATACAAATATAAATATATTACCAGATTTTAAGCAAGAAAGACAGGCAGAAACACGTGTGCGTGATGATCACATACCGTCTGCCTCTTTAGGACTGACTCACAGCAAACACTACAAACAAAGACTGCCAGAGCTGAAGGAAATCTTAACAATCATCGATACTGTACTTACAGCAGACATACTGGTGTATACACACTACAATCACAAACACTCTGACTGATATCAAGGCTCTACGGATACCTTTCAACAGGCCAATACTAAAATTTTTGGATGAAGCTGCTCACAGCTGATATTTTGTGCCAATATTTCAATGCTAGGAAATATTTTCTCCCTTAATTTTGTATTTTTCGGAGCAGAAAAACTCTGAAAACCAATAAGAGCATCACGGGACACTTAGACTCCACACTGAGTGTCATCCACATCTCTCTAAGCTCTTTATACAGAAGCGAACAGGAGGAGTTGTTAGGATTTTAAACTGAATTACATTAACAAATGAATAATGTGTCATATTGCAGGTTTTAAAGACTTTTTACTACAAGTGAGATCAGAGTGGAAACTTCATCTCCATCCTTTTCTAAATTATACAAACTGACTGGATGACGAACAAATATCAATAAAAGGACAGTATTGGTGAAATATTGGTCTGATCCTGACACTCATACGTGAAGATAAAGTACACACAAACAGGTCCACACACTAACACACACACACACATGCAGTCACTCAATACACATGGTAACGTGGTGAACACACACTTTTTGCTCGTAGGAGCCTCCTGGTAGAAACTGTGAGGAAAACCTCCAGAGACTTATCAGAAGAGACGCCGATCTGTTCCCCTCTCCCTCAAGAGCATCCCAGTGCCAGAGAAAGTAGGGTGATCACCCGTGGCAACAAGCCCCGCCTCCTGTACTTTCTCTCCTTACATCAGATTCAGTTATTTAATTTTTCTGTCCTTCAAAAAGTATTTAAGCCCTCAAAGATGTGCTTTAAGCTCCTGAATATATTTTTGTTAACATGAATTGGGCCTTCGATGTATAATAATACATATAAATATTTACATATATAATGTAATAAAATCTGAACGCCAGACTGCAAAACAGAAACCGTTTGGTTCACAGACTCCCAAGGCCCACAAAGGTGATAATTTAAATTCTGGATGCCAAAGATGTTACATTAAAGTTAATAAACCACTAAAATTATTTTACTGCAAATCCACATTTTCACAACTGTGTTTGAGATGAAATCCATGGGTTTTAAAATACATATATTATGTAGATAAACATGTTCCACCCCAAAACAGGCCTTATTTTAATGATTTTGAAACACAGCAGTTCATGTGTGCTCATGACATTATAAAGAGTATTTACACTATCAGAAAGATGAATTATGAGCCAGATATTGTATGTAATGACTAAAAATAGCAATAGAATCATTTCCAATGTTGGATACACAAGGGTTCAGGAAATGTGGTCGTAAGATGAAATTATCACCTTAGTTGGACTTTGGGCTCTCAGCTGGTAAACCAACTGAAATGTTCACTCAGTCCCCAGACTTTGACTTATTCATTAGTATTTATAATTAGGGATGTTTCAAAGAGACTCATTTCCTAGAAGTTTAGATGGAAATTTAAATTTTAACTCGACAACAACTCTGAAGGTAAGAAAACACTCAGAAACTCTCAGGTAAATGATGTCAAACTGGTTAGCCAAAACACAGGTGTGGCTAACCTTAGCAGAGCTAGCACCACCGGGCTTAAGGACTGACCTGGTGATGCATTGCTCTGGATAAGTGTTTATGCACCAGAAGCAGTCTACTCAGTACTTCATTTTTCATTTTCTAGGTAAACAAACTGCTGAACCTCGAACAGAGATAAAGTTTGCCTCCTTTTTCACAACCTCTGACTCGGTTGTTAAGAGAAAAGTTACTTACAAAGCGTCCAATTCTCTGTCTCCTGCACCTTTTTCTGTATTAAAGGGCATATAAGTCGAGGTGGATCAGCTTCTTACGAAGACTCCACTATAATTGCAAGCCATGCTGTGAGATGCAATCCAACACCTGTGCTTGTTTACATCCAGGTTGTAAAGCGTTGAAGCATCATGGCAGCAGCCTTTAACAGGAGCTACAGCCCCCTCTAGTGCTAGAACTTAGAGCAACATCTTATTAACAATTAAGCACCACTAATTCTGGTGCCAGCGTTTAAATGTTGAGTTGATACAGGAACATCCTTAATTATATTTGGACCATGTCTCTTTCTGCCAAAATCACCAAACCAAACCCTGCAGTATCCTTTTGTTTCAAACGGCGAGATCTATGTATCGACCCAATTGTGCGAAATGAGCAGCTTGAACCTCGGTGATCACCCTACCTGTTTCAGCTCTGGGGCATTATTCAAAAAAAGGCCAATTCAGACGAACAAAAACGCGAGCCGCTCTGCAACGGAGGGGAACTGTGCCTGTGCCTTATGTCCATGCACTCGTGGCAAGAAGAAGCACATCCCAGAGACTTTCTTTAGCATCAACGAGTAACATCTCCGATTTCTGTTCACTTCCATCCCATCCACAAACGTCTCCCTCTGTGTGAATGCAAAGACCTTCAGCCACATCTGACTGCAGCAACACCTGACTCTGATGAAGGATGGAGCTTTTTTTTTCTTTTTTTTTTCCAATAACCACTTTAGTTTTCAGGCTGAGATGACGTGCATGTTCTTTTGTTTTCATTCTCAAATAACCTGTGTGAAAACATGTGTTTTTATTATTGTTTCTGAGTGACCCTGTGGATTTTGATAGCACTGATGACTCCACTGATTATCACAAGCTTCTTTATCAAAAAACAGATTTATTATCTTAAAAAGTGCAAATCTGGTGTTTATAAATGTCAAAATGCGGCTCAGGGAAGTGAGCATAAACTTCAATTCTTTGCTGAAATACTCCGTAACATTTATGTCCAACAGTCGGGTTAAATCCAAACAAGTACAGAGAGAACACATGGACACAGTTTCCCTTTTTAAACTGAATATATTATCCAAAACTTAGAAACACGTTTTTATTTTAGTTTTTGAGAATTCAAAATGTGAGTAAAAAGGTTCCTGAATTTGTCTTGGATTTTTCCAGGATGAAAAGGATCTGCACTTTTGCATCATGGGAAGAACAATGAACGGTCAGTAGCGTAACAAAAGCTGTATTCACACATGCACACTTCTGTAAGAGGTCAGGATGAGCTGATGTGAGAATGCAACAGGAAAAATTCAAGCAAATTTATGACAAGCAAGCAGGTAATTTCTCAAAAACGAGCGCAGTGGAGGTTTCTGCACATCCGTCATATTTTAGATATCTGTCGCTACACTCAGCATCATGTTGTTAACGTCACACTGTGGTTGTCACAGCACGCTTTTATTCTGTTTTTCTCGATATTGACAGAATATGACAGGAAACACTGAAGGCTGTGAAAGGGATACATGAACAAGCAACTTTGATAGATAATACAGGTCGTGCTCCAGAAATTTTTTAGGTAAATTGCAAAAGTGCATGTGTTAAAGAGGTTTAACCGATGACTGAAAGATCCTTTTCTCCTTAAAAGAAATGCAAATGGTGAGAAAATTGAAGAAAACACAGAATAAAGCAGTTTTACACCAAAAATAAGGGTTCATATGTTTAGGACCTAAGCTGTATTGAACGTTAAATTTGACATGCTGGAAAATATCTGCTGGATAACATCGGGAATTTTTATATTTAAATCTTACATTTTGAGGCACCAGATTTTCAACAGAGAAAGCTGAAAGATGCAATGAGTTAATCAGTAATTTGTGCAGATCATGTGGCAGAAATTCAATCTTTCTGCCGAGCAGCTTGTGATAAACACTCACAGCATTTCACAGCATTTATTTGCTTCGGTTTGAATATTTTAAGCGTCTGATCCTTTTGAAGAGTCAGGTGTTCCAGCCTCCTTGCTGCCTCTTAGCTTCTCTGTTGCTGTATATTAAAGGACTTTAAGAAATATTTCACAACAAAATGAACCGATCTGATGTGTTTGATTTTTGAATACATGTACACAAGAGAAATACAGATTTTTATACGGTTGTATATGTAAATACTGTATACATAACCACGTCTGTGAGCATCAGAGGGTACGCACTGACTAAAGAGAAACTGCTCTTTTGCAAAAAGGAGAAAATTTTGTATTATGTACATCAGTGTGTGTTTTTCTATGAAAAGGGCAAAAAAAAATCATGTTTGAGGATAATATTGAGTTAGCATGTACAGCAGTGTATACAACGTTTGCCTGTGGAGAACAAGCTGGTTTGTTTTGATGCCTCTCCTGTCTCTGCAGCTGAGCTCAGATGTTTCTCCCAAACACAAACCTGCTTTTCTTTCCTTTTTGTCTTTTTGTTGTTGTTGTTCTGTCGGCCTGAGGTCTTTGCATTCCCCTCCAAGTGTGCTGTGTGTAAAAATTGTGCAACTATGGGTGAGCTTTTGTTTTGTTCTTCTGCTCCACAGAACGTGTTGAATGATTCTCAGAGACGCAAACTCACAAACCAAAACTGCAAGGGAAGAAAAACAGAGGGGGAGGAAGATACAGAGGGTTGCACAGGGTCAGCACAGGAGAGGCAGCGGAAATCCACCTGTGGGAAAAAGTCTATTACCGTTTGATCAATGAGCAGAGGATAACATTAATCCAAATGATGTCCGAACCATGCCCAATGGATTATGTTGCCAATCGATCAACATACTTCCTGTCATGCAGCCCTGTGTGTCCTCTGTCCTCCCTCCTCTGGCTGAGCTCGAGGGGCTAACATCCATCCTGAATCCTTACATTTCTCGTCATTCTTCAGTCTGAAACTGCCGTTCATGGAGTAGTTTTCAAAGATGCCAAAATAAAAGGCGTTGTTCAAGTTGACTGCAGTATTCATTGGATCTTCATTGGAACTTTGGAACTTATTTCAAGGTGCAAAACAAGAAAGCTTTGTTGTTTATATGAATGTCTTTGCCTTGTTTCAAGCTTGTTTTCAGATTTATCCAGCTCATAAATTTTGCAGTTTTTGAGCAAGAGTCAAAAAAGGATGTTCCAGAGAAAGAAAAATCACTCAAGTTGAGGAGCTGTTAAAAAAGTCCATATATGCAAAAACAAGACATCTTCAGGTGAGATTATTAGGGCCTGTGTCCACTGACAGCTTTTCTACGTGCAGACAGGGCCCAGAATAAAAGTTATCCAGCAGCACCTATGCTGTCTTTAGCAATGACTGTTCAGTCTGTTTAAAAAAAGCTGGGTGGAGAAGTCCCGCCCCTTCTTGATTTTGATTGGTTGATTCGAAAAAGTCACACTGACAAGTTAAAGTTTCCAAAAGTTGAACCATTTCTATTTGGAAGCATCAAGAGCACGGATTTAAAAAGATAGCTGATGTTGGGATGCCAAATTGAACTGATGCTCCTCTTTTTGTTTGTTTGTTTGTTTTAAATTTGGGGCTTTTACATCTTTGACAGGATCTTAGGATAGTGGAGTGAGTCAGGAACAGAAGTCAGAGTAGGGCAAGAGGTGATGGATTAGTTACAAACCTCGGCTTCCACTTTTAGCCCATGGGGAACATAATTTAACAGCTAAGGTGAACCAGTGTCCTAAACTGGTGTGCACCGCTTGTGCAAAAAAACTGCACCTAGTGGTCACCAGCCCTTAGAACAGTGATTTTTTTAACCTTTGTGCCACGACACACTAGTGTGCCACGAGAGATCGTCAGGTGTGCCGTGGGAAATTATCCAATTTGCAAATAATATGCCATTGTCAAGTGTCTGTGCTGTAATAAAGTGAGGGACGGAGCTATAATTAATCAATAATAATTAATATTGATTTATAGAATTTGTAATGCCTTGGTTGGAGTGAGATTAGTACACAGTCATAGCCATATTTGCAATGATACTAATCATTTCTTTCGGTTTTTGGCCTTGGTTTCCTCATTCTCAGTTTTGGCCAAAAGTTTTGATTTCGGTGCCTTCTATTCTATAATATAAACTAATACATATATATTCTATAATATATACTAATACATATATATTCTATAATATATACTGTGTTAGGCTACAGAGTGTCATTTTGGTTGGTGGTGTGCCCCAGGATTTTGTCGTGACAATTTGCCGTGGCTCAGAAAAGGTTGAAAAACACTTCCTTCGAAGTAGGTTCATGACTGATCGTCACTTTACTGTCATTCACTCAAAAAGACTTTGTTGTGTTTTGTCAGCTGTGTTAAAATCAAGGTTGATTCCCTTGACATGTAGCTTAAACTTTGAGGAAATAACAATAATTCCCTCATCAGTTATGCCCAGTTTTTTAGAAGTTTATTGCTGTCCTTATCTAGAAATTATCAGCTCTGGAAAACATGTCAAATATCAGTCCAATCAGACAGAAAGGAGGCTGTCCATAACTTTAATGAGAAGAAGGACAAGCTGATGGTTTAACAGGCTGATGGTCATGTTCGTCACATTATCCATTTATAGTTTGGGCCAATTTTTGTTAGTTTTCTCTGCCAGACCTCCCTGTATGTTAAAAAGTGATGTTAGTATTAAAAGTTGAAATGACGTCTTTAAAGTTTTCAAAAGTTAAGCAGCTGGTTTCAGGCAATCTGGGACTGTTTTTTTTCACCAGAACTTGACAGAGTCTGATTTAGGAAAACATCATTTCACCCTGAAAGAAACAGGAAACCATCTTCTCCCTCAGGCCATCATCCCTGGACTTAATCCTTTTTTATCTGCCGCACAAACATTTCTGCTAAATCTTACAGCGTGAGGCGGGAAGTTAGACAGAAACCTAAGGAAAGCGTTTTCCATCAGAACCAAATCAGTTGTTTTTTTTTTTTTATGTCATGTTGATCTGCAACAGCATCATATTATTTTCTCTGTTTGTGAATCTGCTGGTTTTTGAATCGCCTGGAGGGACTTGAGGAGAAAAAAATCCTAGATTATGTTGTTTAAAAATATAAACCCGCTGTTTCAGCCTCTGGTGACTGGTGAAGTTATGCAGAATGTGTTTGCCATTGTTATATTTCTCACAACCTGTGAAAGCGTTTGAAGGTATCTCCGTCTCCAAATTTGCCAGCGGTTTTATTGAACAGTTCATCCGAAAAACATCTTAAAGATCAGATTTTACCCAGTCTTTAGTGTTTCAAGCTATGAATGCTTATTTACATCTAAATGTGAGTGTAAAAGTTCAATTCAGACTTGAGGCGTTTCAGTGATCTCGGTGCAATGTGTACGACAAATTATTCCTCCTTGCAAATTTTTCCCTCTTCCTACCAGGCAAATGTCTGGTGCAAAGATGGGAACTGGAAAATAGGAGTCGAAATCTACTGATACCAGTGGCGTAATAAATTATGCAGGAGTTAAATTCTTTATTCATTCTTGTATCAGTTCCTGTGTATCGTCTGGTTGTCTGCTTTGCAGGGGCAGGAAAGTCTGGGCTGTTATTGGACCTTTACAGAGCAGCCAATGATACATACAGCAAAAGTTCACTGCTGAGGTATTGTTATAAAGTTCAAGATAGCAGACTGAATAGATCGGCCCCTATGCATCTGGCCCATTGTCACGATACCCGAATTTTCTTCAGTATTGGGACTGATACCAACATCAAATGTCAGATCAGTGCATCCGTAGTTGCAACCCCCAGTTTGGGAATCACTGTCTTATGAATGCAGGATGTAAAATTCACTGCTTGTACTGAGTCTTTTTTGACTTTTTTTACTCTGTGCTTCTGAAGTCAGCATTAACAAGAGGAACCAATGAGGTTTCCCAGACTTTTGGAGTCAGCCTCTAGTGGACACTGGAGGGAGTGCAGTTTTAGAGGCTGCTTTTAGCATGTACATTTTGGCATGTACTTCTATGTCCCTAAACATGCGCAACATGCTAATATGACTTGGTTTTGGAAAAAGATCATGATTTAGGCAATAATAGAGCCACGATGTGACTCCAACACTGGCCTCCCTTGAATGATAATCGTGCATCCTCTTCATCAAATATAGATTTATGTGCGCTGAACCAAACATGCATTTGCAACAGAAATGGAGGTTTCCAGAAGAAAGCCCTTTAGGCGGCAGGGTCACCAAATCCATGTCAGTAAAATGTAGAGAGAGAGAGAGGAGCTCCAGCTGCAACAACCCACACGAACAAACCCAGACAGACACATACAAAAACAAAGTAACTGGATTTATGCAGTGCAGTGATTCTGTGGCGGCGTTGTTTATGAGGGTGTTGGATCACATGATTTGAAAACCCGTTTCTTCTTTGTCAAATGTAAGAAATGTAAAATGAGGTCTACTTCTTTATCACATGAGGTCGCCTGATTGTATCACTGATGATCCGTACAGAATCTGGAACATGGAAGAGTGACGCTGGATTTAATCTTCCCAAAATGTCATAAGACAGCAGTCCACTGTGCTTTATCTCCTGCTGCTTCATGATTAAACCAGTCCCACATTTCTCTGCTGTCCTCATCATCTTCATGGTGTTATCCGTCTGATGGCGCACGAGTAATAACATGTGTGAAATTGGTTTCTCAAAAACTCTATCCGTCCGTCTTTGTCTCTGACTGTAAAAGCAGCAGACGTACAAATAAAACCCGCTGGAGGGAAAGAGCCCTGGAGCTCTTTGTCCGTTTCATAATGAAGCTTTTTATGCTGCAGAAAACAGTTGGAGCTGTCTTCTTGTGTTCTTGAATACAGACGTTGATGTAAGTGCAAACCTTTTTTGCATTTTCAGAGTCAAAGTCAGAATCATCATCAAGATGCTGAGAGCAGGAACAGCTGCCTTTTCCTAAAAGGCACAAATACAACCGTGCAAAACAGGCAAATATGAGGCAGCAAAGGCCGTCTCCCTTTAGCTTAAAGTGAACTTTACTTCAGTATATTTTAATTTGATCGTTTTCCCCGAGCCTCTCGCTGAGCCCTGGCAGAGTTCACCCCGGGTCAGGCCTTCTCTCTTGTTTGCAGTGTTATCAGCCCACTGAACCGTTGCCACCTCAGATTAAGCTCTGCTCCTCGCTTTCTTTTGGCTTTATGAAGGCGAGGCCAGTGAGGCTGTTTGATCCGACTTTTTGAGCTGCTGGAGGCCTGAAAAATGGGCTTCAGACGGTCGGCTCATTAGACAATCTTCAGTGAGCAGCGGCTAACCTCAATACGCTGTAAAGATATTCATTTTTGTATGTCTCCAAAGCCAAATTTCTAGACATCTTTAAACATCGGATATTATCTGGACCAGACTAGAACTGGTGGAGATTCTAATTTAAATGTCTTTGTTTCTCTTTATTGTTAAAATAAGAGCATGTGCATGAAAGGATAAAAGTTAGCAGAGCTTTACTCCTCAATCACTCTCACTCGACCCTCACTTATCAGAAAACTGATGAGGTCTCAAGGTCCCGCGTCTTTGTTGCACAAAGGCAGATGAAGGTTTCTTCAACACAAAGATCTGTCCGTATGTTTCTTCAAACTCTCCGGCAGATGACTCTTCTCTGATTGGTGGAAAAGCCGCAAAGGAAGAACCCTTGAAGTCTGAAAACAATGAAATCTGCCAAATAGGAGTGTGCTCCTTCTGGGAGAACTCTTAATCTGTTCAATTCCTGGATTGCATCTGTTTGAGGGGTTCTTTGTTAAATTTCACCCTGGGTTGTCGATGTTTAATGTGTTAACCAGTTTATTCACCCTGTTGTTTGATACAGATACGGTCGTCTGTTTTATTTTGTTCAATTTGAAATGTGTTGTGGCCTTTTTTGAAATAAGTTGTGTGATATTAGCAGAACAAGCCTTGGAGACAAATAAGACGGCTGCTTGCGATATCGATTGAAGAAACTAGGTGTAAAAAGGAACCAGATGTGGCTAATATGAAATGAGTATGTGGGATATATTCAAGGTTGTTGAGAAGATTTCCAGTTTGTTCCAGGTTTTTCCAGGTTTTGTCCTTGGAGAGGTTTCCCACCCAATCAATGCAAACAGATGGAAACCTTATAATACACTGAAACATGTCAGCAACCCTCTTGAATTTATTTCTTTTCCAGTATCCAGTTTGTTTTCATTAATGAAATCTCAACTTTATCAATTAAAGGGATATTCCGTCGTAAAATTAATTTCAGGTCAAACACACCGTAACACCGAGATAGACACCCTCTTGAGAGACGAATATTGCTGACCGCTTGCGTCTCTAGTTATATCAACTTTAGTAACGACTGCAGGATAGCAATACACAGCGGCCTATGGAACCACACACAACTCACCTACTCTCTTCCAGCAGCCACTTGTTTTTAGCAAGACCTCGGACTAGTCCATTATGGACTGCTGGGGGGTGACGCAGCTCAAGGAAGAACATTTATGATCATTTCTTCATGGAAATGCAATCAGACTGAGACGCTAAGGCAGAAGAACTACAGCGTCTGCAGAGAAAAATGATTAATATGATGATTATTACTTCAAGGAAATGATAAAGAAATGATGATAAATGTTCTTCCTTGAGCTGCGGCACCCCGCTGTAGTCCATAATGGACTGGCCTAAACAAGCGGCTGGTGGAAGAGAGTAGGTGAGTTGTCTTTTGTCTATTTGCTAAAGAAATTAGGTAAAGTTAAAAAGATGTTTGGCAGCTAGATCTGTGGCTGTGACCCTATATGTCCTGTTGATGAAGTTAGGTGCTGTTCTGAGCATTATTTGTGGCTATAGAGTGGTGTTTTTGTTGAGGTTTGTTTATGACTCCTCAGACCGCTGTGTATTTCTATCCTGCGGTCGTTACTAAAGTTGGTATAACTAGAGAAGCAAGCGGTCGGCAACATTCATCTCTGGAGGGGGGGTCTAACTCGATGTTATGGTGTGTTTGACCCTAAATTAATTTTACACCAGAATATCCCTTTAGGTTCTTTTCAAACGCTCACTCTCACCTGATACACCAATAAAAACTTCACTTTATCTTTCCTCTTATATCTCTCTCTCAAAAAAGAAAAAAAGGAAATATTGAAGTTTCTGTGGGTACAAACCGAACTGGGGTCATTTCTGTTCTGAATATTAGACAGTGCACAACGAGTATTGGCATAGTCAAAACTCTGCAGAGCCAGATGTGAGTTTGTCACTTCCTAATGGAAGGGGAAAGGTCACATCTTAGTCCTGAAAAGCTTTTACAGCCACGGACTTTTCGTTCCAATTTCAGTGCATTTGCTAGAAAAACAAATGCATTTGTGGAGACAGCTGCACAAAGACTCGTCTCTGCTGCCAGTTTGTCCCACTTTTCACAAGCACAAAATGCATTTTTCCGCCGCCTTTAAAAGCATAAAAGTTTACTCTTACAAAACATCTGAAAAGCCTTAAAACTCCTCATGGGCACAGGAAGATTCAGGGAAGGAAGTTGAAGAGTCTTTATCAGTGAAAGGGCTAAAGTCACTTTTAGCTCTGTGCAGACTTTGGTAAACTAAATATTCCTACATGCATTTAAGCTGCTTGTCTCAGTCAGCATTTAACCACACCAATTCAATGATAGGAATACATTTTCTTAATGCTACCTTAACCTGAGAAACCCTCACTGTTTATGCTGTAGATGAACACCATAGATTGTAAATGAGATGGACGTTGTCGCAGTCAAAGGCGTCACCATTTGGTTTCTGCATAGTGTCACCCATACAATCACATGACAGTTTTAACTTGATTTATTTTGTGGATATTCAGATCAAGAGGCGCCAGAAAAGAGACTGTTTTATCCACTGGAAAGTCAACCATCAGGTACTTTTTTCACCTGATTTCCACCAAAAAGGCAAAAGTGTGGCTATTTTATATTTTATTGACTTTGAGGACTTCTGATTGGTCCCTTTTGTCAGGGTCTTTAAGACACCAGGGCACTAATGGTGGTGATTACCCCCCTTGCTGGGCTGTAAAAATAGGCTTGTCAGCTTGTCGTTGTGGGATCTGATGAGGTTTCTTTAGGCTTTGGAAACAGTCTCAAGTGGACACTTGAGGAACTGCTTTTTTTCACCACAAAGCTACAGAAATCCAGTCAGGTGCTTTTGCTCTGTAGACCATTTCAAACCAGTATCACTGCTGCGTGTGCACAACGACCCCAATGATGACCACATTTAGATAATTGGATAGACTTATAACAGTGATAAAGAGAGGGGTGAGTGTGTTTATCAGGCCTCACCATAATAATAATAATAATAGATTTTATTTGTAACGCACTTTACATTTGAAAACAAATCTCAAAGTGCACAACGAAAACAGAAAAAAAAATAAAAAGACAACAATAACAGTAAAAAAGAAGCAACAGGGCAAAACAATAAAAACAGTCAGCAGATAAAATCAGATAAAATTAGTCCGGGTAGGCTTTCCGAAAGAGGAAGGTTTTGAGTCCTTTTTAAAAAGCATCCACCGACTGTGGAGCCCTGAGGTGACCGGGGAGGGCGTTCCACAGACGGGGAGCAGCAGCCTCGAAGGCCCTGTCACCCATGGTCTTGAGCCGAGTCCTGGGCGGGCACAGACGGTGCAGTTGGCCTGACGGGGTTCTGGCTGAGGTAGGTGGGGTGAGGAGTTCGGTGAGGTAGGTGGGGCTGCACCGTGCAGACAGTAGCTACGTTTACATGGAGCCAAATATTCCGAATATAATCGGATTAGAAGCCCAATCGGAATGAAAATGCTCCACATAAACACCTCATTCGGAATAAACAGGCCCATTCCGAATGGAATTTCAGTCCGATTCACAGGGGTAGAATATTCCTTTTCCCATTCCGATTAAAAGCAAAATCCTGTCATGTAAACGGTGAATCGGAAAGTTGTCAGGCTGGGTTCTGTCTGCGCATGCTCTGTCCTGATGTAAACAAGCAGTGACGTATGACTCACATGGAAACATGATGGCGGCTTCCAAGCAGAGCACGATGCACTGGTCTGCGTCGGAGATCACGTGATCAATCAATCACGTGATGTTTGAAGGTATCACGTGTCTGTAAATAGCTGTTCCGATTGAATGCCGTGGCACATGTAAACACCAGATCAGAATAGATCGCTTCCATGTAAACAGTTCGCCTGGGAGCTTCAATCGGAATGATTATAATCCGAATGAGAAAAAAGTCTGCATGTAACCGTGGCTACTGATGGGTGTGAAGGAGGATTTTGAATTCAATGCGGAGGTGAACGGGGAGCCAGTGCAGAGTGTGAACGATGGGGGTGATGTGCTCATGTTTACGCACTCTCATCAGGACCCAGGCAGCGCTGTTTTGGACATGTTGGAGCCTTTGTAAGCTCTTGCCCGGGATCCCGATGAGGAGCGCGTTACAGTAGTCCAGCCTGGAGGAGACAAAGGCGTGGACGAGTCTCTCTGCTGCAGGACGAGAGAGAAATGGCCGGAGTCAGTGATCCCAACCTCCTTAAACTCGGGTGTCACAGAGAAGTCCACAAACAGTCTTGTCACCTTTTTTCCAATCGTGGTGGGTAGTCAGTTTACTTTAAGCTGACGCAGAGCTTTCTCTGACGTCCGTAAATTCTCTCTCTGCGGGCCGTGAGGTGCTTATGCTGCTTTCCGCCTGAGGCTGCACATGCGGTTCGGATCCCAAACTGTTCGGCTTTCTCTCTCACAGCGGGCACTGGGAGGAGTCCTGAAATGACCGACAGTGGAAAAACTGAAGCTGTTTTCTCATAAAGGAACAAACAGTACCGTTTAGGCTCGACTTAACAACAGCTAAATGAGGCAACCAAACATCTTTCAAGGAGGGGCTTTGTCACAACCAACCGGTGTTGCCACAGTTACTTTTAAAAAGTAACTTGATTACTGGTTATGGATTAGCCTACTCTTTTGAAAAGTACTATCTTCGTAATACTTTGAAGGACTTGTATTTATGTGACATTGGAAACCATCAGATAGTTGTTGCATTATGCACAACACAGTGTATGTAGGACAAACCTTTGAGCATGGGGATGTTTCATTTTAGCACCTGTATTTAATCAAGCTTTTCATTTTGTCGACGTTAAACTGCTCCTCAGATCTATTCGCAGAGTATCATCAGGCTTTGATTCTCTAACTTTTGTTTGTTGACATGATGAAGAGCCTAATGAAAAACGGCTCGTAACTGCGGGAGGTATGTAGATCAAGCTGTGAACTAATTGGCCGTGTAGTGATTGAAGCCTGGTGTAGAGAACTGAGCTCGGCCTCCGCCGCAAGAGAGAAAGCTGCGTTTATGTAAGCTCAAGTGTTGTTTGGTGGCGGCATGATTGATTATCCCACACAAGCTTTCAGGACTATTTAAATGGTCATTTAATGTCTTTAACCACCCGGGCTGGAACTGTGCAGAGCTAGTGAGGAATGAGTTGTTTTGTGTAATTATAAAGTTAATAATAAAGGCTGGTTCCAGTGGGACTTTGGGGCTAGTGATAGAAATGTGTTGGTGAACTTTTGTCCATTCATTACTCAGCTTATCCAGGGCAGAGTCACCGTGGCTGCAGGCTAAACAACTCAACCCTCATCCACCAGACCACATGCAAACTCGTGTGTTCATTGTCGATTCCAGAATTATTTATTTTTTTACCAAACAGTTTATTATCTTGGTTTAAATCTAAAAGAGGTCTGGTATAAATCAGTGCAGACTGATGAAAGAAACTGTAGCAGCTGCAGTGGTTAGTGACTGAGCCTTTAAAAGAAACAATGAAGTGAAAACAAAAAGAAACACCAGGGATTTCCACATTTCAAATAAACTCATGTTGCTGTAATGTCAAATGGTTTCAAACATGTAAGAAGTTGGTGAAAATTTCCTGATGAGTTTTTCACCCCCACTTTACCCGAAACATTCCCTCCTCGCCCTCTGGGATCATTTTGGGGTAAAGTCCTGTTTGTTATGTTTTCGTATTCTAGTACACCGACTGCCCAAGCCTGATACAACCTGTCACTTACAGAGACTTCAATCACACACCTGGTTATTTTATGTATTGTGCAGCCATCAGGTTGGATAAACTACATGATGTAAGTCATTATTTGTCAAAGCTCTCAGGTACAAAAAGTCCTGTAATGCCACAAAAAGGTGTAAAAAAGATGCAATCACAGTTTCCAATGAGTGATGTTGTTAAGGTGCTTTTATAAACCAACTTAGAAAGACTGTGGTAGGAAGTACGAGGAGGACAGGAGAGGTAACAGTTTGCCAAAATGATGTAATTTAGGAGTATCAGCATTATGAATCCAAGAGTACAGGCCGACATAGTAAACCCATTAAAAAAAAATGTGTATAGTATCAAGGGGGTTTGATTTGTGAAGAAATGATGGTAACACCTTATTTGACTCCTATCTCTATAACTCATGATAAATATATTTATCATGCGTTACAATGACGTTATATTTACATTTGTAACTATAGTTAAAAACACTCATAAATGATCATAATGCTTTATAGCAATAGTCATAACACATTATAAAGCATTTTATCATGACTTACAAGGTCAGGTTTTATAATGTGTTAGAACTGTTAACAACATTTTTATTGCATTATCTACGTGGGCACTGTCAGTGAGATGTTAACAGTTATAACACATTATAATACCTGACCTTGAAATTCACAATAAAATGCTCTTTAATGTGTTATTATTATTGCTTTAAAGCCTTATGATCATTTATGAGTGTTTATAACTATTGTTATACAGTGTGATAACATCATTATAACGCATTATACATATATTTATAATGCGTTACAGAGATAGGCGTCAAATAAAGTGTTACCAAAATGACTTTTTTAAGACAGTGTGGATTGAGTTTCTTCCTACCGTACACCAAACAATCCTGCTGTGGCCTTAAATCCTGTTCAGCTCACTTCAATTTATTCCAACAAGTCTGTGAAACCCATTTCTGATTTCAAACCACCTGTTGAAATATTCTCAGATTTGTGTCTTTGCTATTGCCTCAAGACTAAACAAACATTTACTGTATCGGTCCTCGTCTACCTGCCTCTCTTCGCCTTTAAAGAACAACATGCATGTAAAGATAAATGCAATAAAAATGAATAAATATTTGAACCGATTATCCTTTTGAAATGTTACCATGAGAGCAAAGCTCACAGAAAGTTTGTAATTACAGGCTGATATTCAGGAAGCTCTTCTGCTCTGTTGAGCTGTAAAAAAGGGGGGAAAAAACTGTTTGAAGGGAGAGAAAGCGAGTGGGTGAGAAAGTGAGACCGCCGGGAGCTGCGAGACTGATGATATCCACCGCTGGTTTCTGCCTTGTTGGGGTGTAAACAGAGAGAGACAAAAGAGCCTTTTAATATCAGCTGACATTAACATGCATCTCATATCAACACTGTGTGCAGAGATGATTTAGAGGGCATATATTTATGTCCTGCATTAAAATATGTCGTGAGGAAGCTGAGTGTAATCAGATTTCTCAATCTGCCATGAAATACAGCTCACATCTCTGTGGTATATCAAGAGTATACATAAAAAATGAGGGTAAACACATCCAACTATAGCTTAATGAGCAAACAGCATCAGATGAATATTCATAAACGGTTCTATGAGCTACAGTCGTCACAGGATTTATGGCATCTGTAATTTGAATAGAAATAAGAGCTTTAACCAGTTTAGTTCACACTTTTGTAAAGAAGTAAAGGCCTTTAAGGACACGCCTAAGTAACTTTTTGTGATCTGAAAAGTGAGCTGCATGCAGAACACAAAAGGATAGGAATTAGAGATAATTAAAAGAGGACCCAGAACCGCACCTTGGGGGACACCTTGAGACAGAACAGCCATAAACACTGTGATTAAAGCTCCTGTGAGGAACTTTCAATTCGAGTTTGTTTAGATGTTTGAACTAAAAATGGCAGAATAAGAACACACGAAATTAGAGCAGAGAAATTCATGTGCAAATCAGGAGGATTTAAAGGAAAAAAAACTGAGTGGAATTCAGCTGCTGGTTTTTCTTACTCCTCTGCTGAGTTATATTTAATGGATGTTCAGCTCGTCACTTTGGATACAATCACATTAGCTCAGAGACACATTAGTGGTGGAGAGGTGTCACATAAAGACATGGGAGGAGGATAAAAAGAGGTGACAGAACGAGAACATACAGGGAGCTCCTTTGCTTTCTGGGTTTAAAACAACAACTCAAGAGACGCTGTGTTTGTTTAAGCTGTTTCATTGTTTGTGAGTGAGTGTCTGTGTTCATTAAATTCTTTCAGAATAAAGGAAAAGTAGTGAAGCCACAGAGTTAACAGAGGGGGACATTACGCTTGTTAAATTGGGCTGATTCCATTAGAAAAATTAGATTTTCTGTCATTTTATGAAACATAAAAAAAGATTTCTTCAGCTTTTCATTTTTTTTTTTAGATGATCTGAAATATTTGTTTTGTTTATGTGTCTTCCTCTGAGTGTTGTTTTCACAAAACTGGTTTAACTTTCATTATAAGCGCATACATTTCTGTGCATTAGAGTCACAATGAAGAAGAAATGGCTTATTGAAATAGGGGCTTTTTGGGGCTTTGTGTCCATTAAATGCATTAAACATTTCCGAATGAAAATAACATGCAGTTAATGTTTCTTTGCAGGGATTACGACTACATTAGATTTTATTAGATTAGATCAAACTTTGCATGAGGATTATCAACAACAACAACAATCCGATGCTTAAAACTGAAAAAAAACATGCAACACTAAGGAGCCTGTTACAGCACAGTGAAGAAGGAGGTACACAAACCACATTTCCTTATCTAAGCAGCACACAACCCAGATGCAAAGTAAGTTGCAAAAGAGTCTCTTTTTGGCATAAAATCAATTATGAGGACGCTTAAAATGAATCTTGCTGACATCTCATGCCCTGAGGAGATAGTGCCCTTGTCTTCTGGCATTCCTAAATCAGCCCCACACATGGAGCAGAACCATGATGTATGAAGGCAGGGTATAAATACCCACTCTGGTTAACTGTATCAACAATACAACATTCAAAACACAGATGTGCACCTCTGTTGCCTCTCTGATGTTGTGGTTCAGCTTCTTGTGTCACCAGAGCATCCTTAAAATCATTAAAGTACTGCACCACTGATCAGGTTAGACCTTATTCGAAGACCAGCACACCTACAGGTACACACACGTACAGGCCACAAGTTTACTCACTATTTACATAGCTTGGGTGCTGGGCATAAGATTGACAAGTGCATCAGGTGGAAAATAGGCCCAAGTGCTTTATACTGAGTGCAAAATGGAGCTCAAGGTCTTATTGTCAGTTGGAAACGTCACAAGGCTGCAGGGAATTGGCGGCCTCGCATGCAACAGAGATGGAAGTAAACATTACTGCTCAAAATTCAGCATTGTTGTTGGTAAAATCAAATCCTTTCAAGAAATAAAAAAGTGTTTATTCAATGCATTTACATCACAATAACCTCACATACCAAACGCCTGTTTGACTAACTCAAAAAGTAATTTGGTGCATAATGTGCCAAAACCGAAACCAACTTGGAGGGTGCAGCAGTTTATACCCAAAAAAAGTCAGATTTCTGAGATTTCTGACTCGGACAGTCGGATGATCCTCACCAACCCTGACTTGATTACAACGTCATATTCCAAGATGGCAGCACAGTGCATGAACAGTGAAAGCTCTCATAATGTATTATTTATCAGCACTTCTGTTTTGTTTTTGTGAAATTAAAAAAGTGGTTTATGTTGTACTTCCAAACGTCTAACTGTGAACACGGTGCTATGGTGTTTGTAAGAGTAAAATAATGTGTTATGCGTTGTTTACAACTGGTATCGCCAACGACAACTAACAACTGCCAACAACAGCTAACAGTAGGCGTCCATCTTGGTTTTCAGACTTGTTAACTGGAACACAGTCAACTCGGGTTTCGTGTCATTTCCAGCTCTGACATCCAACTCCCGAGATAACTGGAACGCAGCATTAGCTGTAGTCACACCTGCTGGCTTGTTATAATTGGCGGTTTGATTAAACCCATTAGCAAAGAGCAACAGGTGACCTCACATGAATTTAGGCGAGTTCAACCCTTGAACCTGAGCAGAGATTTAATTAAAGAGGACAGGATAGCTGTAGTTGTTTGTGAGGCAGTTTCAGGCCTTGGAGTGAAATTTTATTTGTAATTATTATTTTTTGCTCTTGACAAGTTTTCCCCTTTTTGGGTTCAGTCACTGCCTTGACTTTTATTAAATCAGTATATAAAGGGACTGCTTATATTTGGAGTCTGTGTGTGTGCCTGTAGGTGTAAACATGTGAGCATGCATTCATGTCAGCGCTCGTCTTCATTTGTCTGATTGTGTGTCGAGTAACTGTGTTCCTGAAATGAATGTGGACACCACAGTGTGTTGTCAGCGCGTAGAACTGACAGCTGAACTCTCCACCCAGCATTAATTGAGTTCACATACACATTAAGTTGCTCCAGGGAGGGGAAAAATAACAGAAAGAAAGAAAGAAAACACCCTTCACGGCGTAATTTGTTTCCCTGCGTCGCCTCCTGACACGCCGGAGATTGAGGCAGAATATTAGAGGAGATTATGTCGAA